CAGCTGCTCAGTGACTCCAGGCAGCCACTAAAATTCCCTGCCAGAGCCTGTGCCTTCATCTTTGGGTCACCAGCGCCATCTGGCGTCGTTGGGGAAGAATGCTCTTCGAGGAGACTGGGCTTTGGATTGTAAAGGTTTATATGGAAGTTCCTTAAGTGCCCCACAGTGGGACAAGGGTATGGGACACCAGGCAGGCTCACTGCTCCTGTACAGCATGCTCTCTAGTAGGGGACATGGGCAATGGACAGTGAAACGAGTAGATGAACAAGCTCTCAGGTCTTGATTTATATACTGAACAAATGATCCGGGTGAGCATGGGGTGTGAGCTGAGTGGAATTCAGGGCAGCTAGCTCTGCCACTCCTGGAGAGGGAGTGACAACAAAAGTCTGAGGTGAACATATGTTTGAGGTTGTCACAGTTTCGGGGGTGGAGGGACAGAAGAGGGCCAGGGGCATGCTGAAGGGCAACTTTAAGGCTAGGGAAAGAGTCTGACTTTATTCTCTGGAAAATGGAAAGCTATCATTATTTAGTTTCTAGTTTAAAAATAAGTTTTACTGGGGCTAGGGGATGGCTCAGTGGATGAAGGGCTTGCTGTGCAAACATGAGGACTCTGAGTATCCATGTAAAAGCTGGGCACTGAGGCATGGGCCTGTAGCCCCAGAGCTGCAGAGGCAGAGACAAGTGGATCCTGGAGCTCACTGGCCAGCCAGCCTGGCCAAATCGATGATCTCCATGCTTGGTGAACGACTCTGTCTCCAAAAGTAAGGTGGAAGGTGATTGAGGAAGGTACCTGGCTTTACTCTCTGGCCTCCACCACAATGTACACACTGGGTACAAATGCACACATGCGCAAAGAATCAAATATGTTTTATTGTGTACCTCTGAGATTTATAGCATGATATGTACGCTACAGATAAAAATCTGGCAGGGGAACTTGGTTGGCTTGAGCGCTTTGACTGCTGTGTGGAGAACAGAAGGAAGGGATGGATGGAGGGAGACTAAGTAGGTGTAGATCATGTTGGATTTGCTGTGAGAGTGAAGGAGACACAGGTTTTGTTTTTGAGATGCAGATTTTTAGGGATCCTAACTCAAAAAACTAAGTAGCAATAGGAGGACCCTTTACTCATGGAGGGAAGGCAAGACTTGGGGGAACAGCAAGAGGCTGATTCTGCATGGGGGTATGCACACCTGTACGCCCAGAGCTTGTGTGGTTAGAGTAAGAGGATTGTGAACTCAAGGCCAGCTACATGGAGGGCTGTTGTTCACACAGTGCAGCAACTCTTGGGTAGGGGAATTCCTGGGGTGCTGCAAGGCCCTGGGGAGGAGCACATCCAACTTGAACTACACAGTCAGAATCTTCCAGACTATATGAGTTCTGTTAATGTTATGTTCTATCTCCATCCAGGTCTACACTCGCTATGGGAAGTGTTACACCTTCAATGCCGATCCTCAGAGTTCACTGCCCAGCCGGGCAGGTGGCATGGGGAGTGGCCTGGAGATCATGCTGGACATCCAGCAGGAGGAATACCTACCCATATGGAGGGAGACAAGTACGCAGGCGGGAGGGGAATCAGGGTCAACTCAGGGATGGGGTCTGGGCTCTGCTCTCTGCCTGGAGTAGGTTCTGAAGAGGTCTCCTCATCTCTGCTGTGCAGATGAGACATCATTCGAGGCAGGTATCCGAGTGCAGATCCACAGCCAGGAGGAGCCTCCCTACATCCATCAGCTGGGGTTTGGTGTGTCCCCAGGCTTCCAGACTTTTGTGTCTTGCCAGGAACAGCGGGTGAGCATCCCCAGCTAGGCCTAACCTGGGCACAGGGCAAATCTGTTTGAAGGGATACTGGCCAGATCTGCCTTGCAGACACTCAGTCTGGTAGCCCTATGGCCCTTGTTGGGGCTCTTGACACTGGAGGACTGGCCCTGACTGACACGCTTGGCCTTGACCTTGTCATGCCCCATCTCTGCAGCTAACTTATCTGCCCCAGCCTTGGGGCAACTGCCGGGCGGAAAGCGAGCTCAGGGAGCCTGAGCTTCAGGGCTACTCAGCCTATAGTGTGTCTGCCTGCCGACTGCGCTGTGAAAAGGAGGCCGTGCTTCAGCGCTGCCACTGCCGGATGGTGCACATGCCAGGTGGGCACCTCCAGCCAGTCTTTGGTGCCACTCTTCTGGGCTCTTGAACTTCCAGGGGCAGAAACATGTGTACAATACGTACCCATGTCTACACTCATGAGCATGTGCTCAAGTGTATGTTTGGATAGTTATGCATGTTTTCGTATGTTTGGGAATGCATGTGTACACAGGCTTGTGTGCATGCTAATATATATTCGTGTGGATGTGTGCATGTCGGGTTGTGTAAGCAAGAGCATGATTACATGCATACATGTATATATGCATTTTCATTGCTTTTATGCATGAGTGAGTATATACTGATCTGTATGTGTATGTGCACACATGCATGTATGTGCATGCCCACATGGGTGTGTGGTAAGGGAGAGGGGAAAGGACTGTAGATCTCAGAAATACTCTTCTCTCCTTTCAGGCAATGAGACCATCTGCCCGCCAAATATCTACATTGAATGTGCCGACCACACACTGGGTGTGTGCTGCCTGCCCCTTACCTGTCTCTTTCTCATCGCTCTCTTCATCCCTGTGTGCCCTGCTCCTCTGTGTCTTCTCACCTCTCCTCCCAACCTGTCCTGGGGGGTCTTGTTGAGGTTGAGCTTTATCTCACACCTGGGGGGGGGCGAAAAGGCTTCTTCAGGTTCAGACACTTGGGTAAGTGGTGACAGATCATGGGGAGATAGATGCTGCAGAGAACCCAAGACTGGGAGTGAAGGGCTGGACTTCCTGTCTCAGTTCTCTCTCTCTCTCTCTCTCTCTCTCTCTCTCTCTCTCCCTTGTCTACCCCCTCTCTTTGAGAAAGTGAAATGACTTCTCTCTGAGCCCTAGGAAAAATACATTGCTGGATGTCAGTATGGGTAAAATAAACTCCATCTTTCCACAGGCCTCACATGACCTGCAATTCATCCGTCCATCCACCCTCCTAACAATTGACTGACTGATTCATTCTCTAGACCTATTCCATGTGTTCTGCATGTTGAGGAACCAAGGGCCTTGTCCATGAGTACTTACTGAGGACAGATGCTAACGGTGTTACAGTTCTTGATTAGGTGTATCTTAAGGGTGTTAGGAGTCCCAGGGGAGGAACATGTAGCCTCAATCTAGAAAGGCAGGAAGGATTCTACATGAAAAACTACATTATTAGCAGAGATTTGAAGGGTCCTATGTAGTAGGGATAGCATGTCCCATGTCCCAAATATCTTGTGACCTGAGAAAGCATGCTTTGTCTAGGGCACCCAAAGGTCAGTATGGCTGGAGGGCAGAGGTCAAGGGAGGGAGCAGAGAGTAGAAGAGGGAGGTTCTGGGAAGCCAACAAGGGCTTGAGGCTAAGTAGAAAGGTGAGTGGGTGAGATGCAGAGTGGATAGCTTGAAACAGGACACCAGTTAGGAGCTCACTGCAGAAAGCTAGCCGTGATGGGCCTCTGGGGATGCGTCTGAGATGCTGGGGCAGCAGACTGGTAAACGAAGATGTGCTCTGTGCCCCCACACCACCTGCATCTGTCAAGTGTGTGAGGGAAGAGCATTCAACAAAGGAACAGACGTCAGCTGGATAAGGGAGCCACAGGTATGGTGAGAGTCCACAAACTAAGTGACAGCAGGGAGCCTTCATTCTCAGGCTTGAAGGTATGAAGGAAGGAAGCACCATGGAGCTAATTGGGGGGCGGGGCTCGAAAAACACAGAGATACAGAGAGACAGAGACGGAGAGAGCACCTAGGGCTGTCTGAGAGGAGCGTTGATGGCAGTGTGGTACCAGAGGAAGAACGCAGCCTCTGTGGCCAGGAACTGAGAAACAAGAAAGAAGTACACAGGAACCGCTGCCCTCTTACTTCCTGGCCTGCCTGTCCACAGGCTGGAAGGCAAAGGTGGCAAGGAGATGCATTTGACAGGGATCTACAGCCTTCTGGGGGCATAAGGCAAGGAGAAAGAGAGTGAAAACGGGGCCTGAAGGGGCAAGCAGGAACATCCTAGCCTATCAAGTGGGTGAATCCTGTCTGTTCTGTCCATCCATTCTCCCTCCCTTCCACCCCAACACCCTTCCACTAACTCGTTGTGTGTCTGAGATCTCACTGACTAATGCTGGCAGATACGCTCTTACATCCTTGTCCCGGGGAGCTGGGGACAGAGGGAGAGATTTGTGGAGGTGCTGCCATCATGGGTGGTTTAAAGTTGGTCTGAGGGGGACCCCAGTCAGAATGTTCTAGGAGGTGGCAGGTCTGGCCCTTTGAATTGACTTGCCAGCTCAGGACAGCCTCTGTGCCTGTCCCCACAGCTATTGGGCCGGTGGACCACCCTCCCCACTGTAATTGGCTGCCTTTGTGTTGCAGACTCCCTGGGTGGAGGCTCTGAGGGCCCATGCTTCTGCCCCACACCATGCAACCTGACTCGCTATGGCAAAGAGATCTCCATGGTCAAGATGCCCAACAGGGGCTCAGCCAGGTACCTGGCAAGGAAGTACAACCGCAATGAGACCTACATACGGTAAGACATGCCCACGGACGGGCTTTGAGCACAGGGCTCTTCAGCAGGCTGGGACACAGCGGAGACTGAGAATGAGCTGTCTCTTTGTGTGTATTGGGTCTCCTGCCAGGAATGCCATTCACGATCTTTCTAACTGCCATCCTTCAAGTTACACCCTGGTCCACTTCCAGGAAAGCTCATCCCAGTCCAAGTCTGAGCTGCCCCAGCTCCTTGTACACACCCCTGCCACTCTATAGATCCCATTGTTCTAGACCCATAATGCCTTTCTCCTCATATACATAGGGAGATCAAGGCCAGCTTGGGCTCTATGAAACCCTTTCTCAGAAAAACAAAGCAAAACAACCACACACACACACACACAAAAACAAAAAACAAAAAACCCACCAAGCTAACACAGCTGGACCTAACTCTCTTTGGGGGTCTGAGGCCACCAGATCGCCAGCACATAGGGGTCTTAGACCAGGATTAGCTAGCTAGACTGAGGATGCTCTTGCCAGCTGCCTCCTCAAGGAGCCCATCAGCCTCATACAGGTGTCATTTCATGTCTCCCAGGGAGAACTTCCTGGTCCTGGATGTCTTTTTTGAGGCCCTAACGTCTGAAGCCATGGAACAGCGAGCAGCCTATGGCCTGTCAGCCCTGCTGGGTAAGCCCTGACTCTAGCCCCAGCTCATGTGTGGATCAGCCCAGCCTGTTCCCACTGACCCCAATCTCCTGTTCCTCAGGGGACCTTGGGGGACAGATGGGTCTGTTCATTGGGGCTAGCGTCCTTACCTTGCTGGAGATCCTTGACTACATCTATGAGGTAAGGGCATGAGGAAAGGCCCTTAGTGGGTGTGGCTCCGGGGTGGGCTGGTCTGGCTGGGCAGTGGGCTCAGGGTTCTAGAAGTGCTTGAGGGTCTGACTCTAAAGAAGCTGGGTTGGGACCTGGGGACCCCATGAGAGGGGGTTGCTAGGCACCAAGTCCTATAACCGAGACCCTTCTATACCCCACCTTGACCTGCAAGGTCTCCTGGGATCGACTCAAGAGGGTGTGGCGACGGCCCAAGCCCCCCCTACGGACATCCACCGGGGGCATCTCCACTTTGGGGCTGCAGGAGCTGAAGGAGCAGGTGAGTAAATCTGCTCTCCTCCCAACCCAGAGAACACCCCCTCTCCAGGGCCACTTCCTGTAAGTTCCCAAGACACCCCAGAGAAGGAAAAGCCATTGTTGAGACTTGAGTACACAGCTTGACCACTGTCCCATCCCCTTTTCATTTTACAGAGTCCTTGTCCAAGCCGGGGGCGTGTGGAGGGTGGAGGGGCTAGCAGCCTGCTTCCCAACCATCACCACCCTCACGGCCCACCAGGAAGTCTCTTTGAAGACTTTGCTTGCTAGGATGGTGCTGTGTGTGTGTGGGAAGTACCCATGTTTCTGGGATTCTACCCAGGCCCCACACATCTCCTGCTCCTGGGACAGAAGGCGTGGGGCAGCCCAGGGCTAAGGGAAGGGGTGGTGCTCACTGAGAGACCAGGACTGGGGTCCTGCTCTCCCCAACCCAGGCTCGGCTGCCTTGAACAAGGGTCCTTCTTGTCCACACTCCCTGCTCCTAGGCGGGTGTCCAGGAAGGGCTGAAGACCAGACTAGAGGCCCCTGAGGAGGGGAGGGAGGAAGAGAAAGATGGGGGAGGTGGAACCCTGGCAGGGCCCCTCTGTACATTTGTATATATTTGGGGACTGGGTGGGGGTGGGACACAGACATAGAAGGGTGGGGCTGCGGGGGTGGGTGACACAGGATAGTCAGGGTCCCAGCCCAAGTAGCAGAAGGCAACTCTTTGGGACCCAGGCATGTTTGGCTGGTTCTACTTCCCTCTCTCCAGGCCCAGTTCCCCTCTTGGCAGGGGGAGTGGGTGGCCCAGCAGGCCTGGCCCAGCTCCCAGCTCCCCCTGTACCACCAGCCCCACCACAAGTTCCCTCCATGGGGAGTGGGCGGAAGACCTTTCAGACCTTGGCTGAGCTTAGGGGGAAGGGGAGTGGCCTTCTCAGTCCTTGCTCCCTAAAGACTGGTTTTATAAAGTACAGGCAAAATTGGGAATAAAGAGTCACAAAGAATTCTGTGTCTGTGTCTGTGTGTGTGAGAAAGAGAGAGAGAGAGTGTGCTGGCATACACTTGCCGGAGGCTGGGCAGCTCTATGACTTGGTCCATGTAGAAGGAAAAGAAGGTCCCCACAGAAACAGGGCTCCTCCATCCTTAAGAGTCAATTCTCCCTTCTCCCATGCCTGTTCAAAACTCTGAATTACCAGTCTACACTCATTAGTCCACACGTAGCCAGTTTATTAAAGCCAGGGCTTCATCATGGATCCAGAAGGGAGAAGGTGGTAATACCATACCCCTCCTTTCTCTGCTTCCTCCTTCTCTAACAACTTATCTACAGCCCAGCCCCCCGGACAAGATCCCAGGAACCATGGCTGGCGTTGGGCATAAATACATAGAGGCCACAGCCTGAATCAGCAGCGTCAAGGGGGCAGGGAGACTGGACAAGAAAGGATGGCTCTAGGGCATCTCTCTCAGGGCTTGTCCTGAGCCCATGGGCCCACAAAGCAAAAGACAAGGGACCAGTGGGCTGCCCTAGGGTCTGAGGCTACAGCCAGCCCTGTCCAGCGAGGCTGGCATGTGGCTCCAGGTTATCAGGGAAGATTAGGGAACAGGTGTGGGCCTAGGTGCTGTTACCCTGTTCCTGCTCAAAGAGTAGCATGGCAAGCTGGGTGCGGGAGCCAAGGCCCTCGAGCATGCTCTGGCGACAGCGGTGGTACAGATCCTCACTGAGCCGTGCACTGCAAGGCTGGGCCCGGTAGCGTTGTAGCAAGGCCGGTTCCACCGCCCGCAGCACATGCAAGCTGGAGAAACGCAGAAACAACTCATACACATCCAGGCTCTCTAGCAGCTCTTCCTCCTGCTCAGAGGCTGCCACCAGCCGTCCACGGGCCGTCACGTAGTCAGAGTTGTAGAAGCACGCCTCACTGGCAGCCTGGCGATCAAAGTGGCCAGTGTCACGGCCCAGTTCTGGTGGCCCAGGCCCCTGAGGTGGAGCCACGGCAGGGTGGAAGGCCTGGAAGTGCATGGGAAAGAAGGCCTGCCAGCCAGAGATGGCATGCATGCGGCAGCGGTTCAAGAAGTCAGGTGTGAGCACTGTGTCTGGCCCGGCCAGCAGGAACAGAGTGTCTAGTGGGTGCTTCTTGGAGAGTAGATCCATGAGACGCAGTGGAGAGGGTGCAGCTGTCTGCACGCTGAGCCAGGGCACTCGGGCACCAGGGAAACGCCGCTCTAGCTCTGCCACATGGGCCTTGACCGGTGCGAAGACATCTGCATGGGCTGCCCGCTGGGCCTGGCGTGGCTCATACAGTAGCAGCAGGGTCAAGGAGGCTGCGTCACCAGGCTCCAGTGCTGCTGTGGCAAAGGCTTCTAGGAAGCTAGAAGCCAGGTCACGCTCAGCTGCGGCTATCGGCAATAGCACAGTGAGCCGAGAAGCCTCAGTGACATAGGGCACAGGCAAGATCTCCACTCGGCTCAGGGGCCGGAGGAGCTGTACCCTTCGGGTGAGGGGCCAGCGGCCACCCTGGGGCGTCAGCGCTTCCAGCTGCAAGTCCAATGTGTACTCCATGCCTCGGGCTGGATCAAAACGCCGATAGCCATTCACCAGTTGCTGCTTCTGGAGCCGCAGTGCTGGTTGGTAACGGCGGTTGAGCTCTTCTAAGGCTGTCCCCAGGACATCAGCCACATCAGCCTGGTCAGCCCCACGCAGTGGGCAGCGTGGCGAGCCATCAGCACAGGAGAAAGTGTACTGTTCTGTGAAGTAATCCCAGCGCAGAACCTCAAAGCGTGAGGCAGGGCGAGATGGTGCTGGAATGCCCACTGGCCAGGTAGAAGCCCGTTCTCCATCAGCAGCCAGTCTGCTAGTATTCTGGATCTCCAACTGGGCCAGAAAAATAGGTCATGAGCAAAGTAGGGAGCCATATAGCCAGTCTACAACTAGAGGCTATGTGGGCAGTCAGTGAGAGAGGACCCCCAGCCTACTGCAAACCTCTGCTCACCCAAGGGCCCAACACATTCTCTCCACAGGTTGAGGCAGCTTGAAATTTCCAGAGGGAATTTTCCAGAGGTTCCACAGAGGTCAAAGACCCTGGATTTTAGCACTGCCTTCTTATTCCCCGCGATCTCTCAGAACCTGTTCCCCTTCAAGCCTTTACTTCCCCAACCCTCAAGCCCAGACTATACCTGCAATTCTCGAATCTCCTGGTACGTGCGGTTCAGCTCAGCCCTGGCAAACGCCTTGTGCAGCTGGTACATGTGCACAGGGTCATACACAGGGTGGGCTGTCACGGCATTGCGGAAACGAGGGTCCCCCTCCTGCAGAGGTTCCCCAGGGCTCAGCTCCAGAGAGTTGTAGTGCACACCCTAGGGAGATGAAGGGAAGCATCCATAATGGGAACAATGACAGAACTGTCTTTCCTCCATCTCTTAGCCAGTGTCTCATTTCCTAATCCTACACCTGGTTGTGGACTTTAAGTCTATTCCATCAGTTGATGCTGTACAACCCTGGTTAAGTCTCTTTGAGTTCATCTGTGAAAACTAGCTCAGAGGTGCCCACAGAACTAAATAGAAGAACTGACAGTGAATACATACAGAATCTCTCATGTTTCCATAACATCAGTATGCATGAGACTGCTGAAACTCAGATCAGTAATTTACCTAAGACCACTGGGATTTTTTTAAATTATAGATTAACATGAAAACCCACACCTGTATCTCTGCCACTCCATATCTCTCCTGGCAAGCATGCAAGCTCTGAGAGGAGACACTAATGGGGAGGATTATCGTCCTACCTCATGGTCACCAGTACAGCCCACGCCTGTGGCATCAAGGATGCACCGTCCCAACCACTCATCTGGGCGAGCACTGACGATGTCATTGCGGCAGCTTTCCAGGTGGGGGCGCAGTTGCTGTAGCAGTGTGCGTGACAGTAACACTCCAAAGCCCCCGTGGCAGTATCGGCCTGGGGTGGTCTCTCCACCGATGAAGTCCTGGGGCCGACCAAGATAGAGATGGGTTGCCGAGGCAAGGCTGAGGTGGCCAGCTAGACGTTCCAGTCCATGCGCCTCAGTGTAGGTGGCATCAGGCACTAGGAAAAACCAGTCAAAGTCATCGCCGTGTTGCTCCAGCAGGTGGCGCAGCGCCAGGTGCAGGTGTCCGATGGGCCGCTCTTCGCCCAGTGTCACCACGGCCATGCCTGAGGGTGTCCGGCGGCCCCGCGCACCGGTCAGGAACACTACACGCTCCAATCGGTGTCCCAGAGTTCGGTTCACAGCCACGCCCAGTGTAGGCAACGTGGCCTGTGAGGTCAGCACTGCCACCAGCAGCTTCTGCCTGATGCCCAGCTCCGTGCTGATATACCGAGTTCTGGGAAAAGACAGTTACGAACAAGATAGCACACAGGCTCCGCTTGTTATTTCTTCTTTGGGCCTGTTTTGCACCCATGAACAGGATAAGAATAACATCTTTCCTACGAGGCATAAAAAGTTACTGGTCTTTGTGTTTAGGAGATAGCAATTTCCATGCAGGTAAGAGAGAGAGATATTAGATCTAATACCAGGTTTCTCAGGATAGAAGTTGTGTCCCTGAGCATACTACTTAATTTGAGCCACCTGTAAAATGGGACTAACTGTATTTAAACAGTAAAATGCTTGGCACACCGTGCACATACTTCCTGCTATATGAAGATGCTGTCACCCCCCCCCCAATATGTCCTATAAATGATGTGCAGGAACATATGGCATAGGGATGTAGAGAATGTCTTTCCAGAAGGGGCAAACTGAGACAGTGACTCACCTTCCTAAGGTAGAAGGTAAGCTGTACAACTGGAATTCACTGTTACTTAGAAGAAATTACTTCAATTCGTGGGCAGAGACAGCAATGTGATGAGTACATTCCTCCCTCTCCCATCTCATCCCAAGGTGGCCCTTGAAACCCATCTAGGAACGAAATACAGGTAAATTCCAGGTCCCTCCTTTTTTCTTTCCCCTTCTTCATACACTCATCCTCCTTAACACTAATCCTAAACAGACCAACTAGGGGCTAAGAGGGTCTCTGGAGAAGTATGGGTGCAGCCCGTTTAGCTCAGCTCAGACCCGGACGTGATCCAGAAAAAGCTTCAAACTGGCCCCCTGCCTCCCTGGAAAGCAGGGTAATAGGAAGTAATCGAGGCCCAAGGACTTCCTGGCCCCCCAGCCC